CGCTGTTGTCGCCCTGTTGATGACGTCAGCTACGCGGTTTCGTCGAGCGTGGTTTAGTGGAACGCGGTTTTGTCGTGGAACCCATAGCTTCAACAGAGTTAATGTCCATTCTCTGTGGGATAATAAGTACCAAAACCTCATACAGTCAAGGAATATTCTATTGGGATTTGACAGGCTGTTGAAAAACAAACAAGCAAACAAAAAGAAATCACAGCTGCAGGACTTCTTTTATTTGATAATAAAAAGGTAACAAGAAAACCGAAAGTTTTATCTCTCGCAATGATTTCCAAAAGCATAAATGCAAAGGAAGCAGGCTCAGGAAAGGGGCTGTTACACAGGGCCCCTCACCACAGCCTGCACTGCAATCAGCGCTGAAGAAGATAAGGGATGATTAGGCACAAGGTTCTGCTTTCCACTGTAACACATTTGCTCCTGTCCAACATCGTCTGCTCTAGCAGCTTTTTGATCGTAGCTGCCTGAGTATGGCATTGCAGTTTTATCTTACATTTTATTGGTGGCCAAGTGGCATTAACAACTTTATAGCCTCCCCTTTATGCTACTTTTGGCTTGTAAGTTTGGATTCGTTTCCGCGCAGCGCACGTGCATTCACACAAAGCCAGCGAAGCAGTAAAAGATTTGCCAGCTGGATTCACGATTGGAAAAACAAACACCAGCACTGAACAAACCAAGGTTTTGTATTGATGAATATCCTTTCAATCCCTCCATGGTTTTGAGAGAACAAAATCTGCATCAGAGGGGCTGTTAATGCACTCCTGCATTTTTCGGGCACTCGTTAGCTTTCTGCCATATGGCTCCTGGATTCGCCTCTACAAAGATCTTTGAAGCAGTTAAATCAAAAATACCAACAAGTCTCTCTTTACGCCCCAGAATGTACTCAACTCTTTGCTACATTTGGAATCGGGCCTAGTTAGCCCCTATAGAGGTTTTATATGGGGTTGACCATCCTAATGTCTATGCTAAACTGATTTTCACAGAGGAATCTTTGGCTGCTGTAAACCTCCCAAATGGTTTTTATGCAGCTTGGAAAAAAGGCATTGAACGTAAGACAATATGGCCTCTTGCTTCAATAGCTGATTTCACTAGAGCCTGGGGGAGACCATCAGAAATTGAAACATCTTGCTTTGGATCCACCTTCATAGTGACCAAGCAGTGGTGGGTTTCAAAAATTGTTCGAACCTACTCTGTGGGTGTGGCCTCCTTTGTGGGAGTGGCTTGCCGCCCATGTGACCGGATGGGAAGATGCCGAAGACCACCTTAAATTACCTCACACGCAGCACTGGCATGAATAAGAATATGATGTAAACTTGTTTTTTAAAA